TCGACAGTGTTCTCCAGAAAGCTGGCAAGATCAGGCAGCTGGTTCGAGACCTTCAAACCAACTATTCCAAAGTGGCTTCCACAGCTGAGAGCCTCGTATATATGCATGATATTGCGTGATTATAAATTACTGGCATGCATGCACGCATGCATGGAAGTATACGCTTCTGACCCGCGAATGGAGTCCCAAGGAACGTGCGCATTTTGCAGCAAGGCATTCAGCAGATGGATTCCGAGTATGACAAGTGCCAGCAGGCCTGGGCTTATGGATCCGTGCACAAATGGAACGCTGAGTTTCTCATCTATATATTAATCGGTCATAGTGAGTGCGGTTCACGTGTGTCAAGTCAGTTGTCATTTGTTTCCGCTTAGGTTTGTCAAGAGAGCTACGGACGCCATGAACAATGCTACATTTGTGTGGGAACCTTTGTACAAACACTTGCTTCATTCTGATACTGCACTGTTGCATGTACGCCGTCTCCCCAATGTCTTATCCCACAACGGGCTGCACGTGCCCGCCTCAAGGTGCAGCAAAGTTGGTGCCTCTGAGATGAAGATCAAGCGTCCACCTCATGCGGTTGCAAGCAAAACATATTGTTTTTTGCAGCAGCTTCAAACACTCGGATTGAATCGATTGAGCCTTCCTATGAACCTTAGTCATGAAGTTGTTTTCTAGGAATGCGAAGCGGTACGAGAAAAAGGACAATGAGCACGATGGAGATGAGCCATCGGCGGGTCAGGGGAAGAGAACCAAGCATGCTGATGACAAGAAGGAGAAAAAGTCCAAGAAAGCAAAGAAGTGAGCATCGAGTGTATTTCACAAACTTTTCAAGGGATCTGCGGGCACCCTGTGTTTGGACATCACAGGTTAGATCCTGCAGGGTTTCAAACCATGGTTGATCGAGATAATATGGGGTTGCTTTTCTGGCCTTTGAAATCGAGGCTAGGGATCGAACAGAATGTTGGCATCCCAATCATTCTGATTGAAGGGTATCGGGTTGCGGCGCGGGTTCAAAAGTTGATGTGCGCAAAGTCTTCTTGTCTTCTGTAGGTGCCATCTTGTTTCATGGATCATGGACGAATCCTATAGTACCACTTGGGGCTCTGGGCCCCAAACCACAGGTGTGTTTGGCTATCTTCCTGCTATCGGCCAGGTCCCGGGCGAGCGCTCCAAGTGATTGCAGGTGACATTGGCGAAGGAGCTTGGGCCTCAAAGAAATTAAGAGTCTATGGACAACAAGAATCAACATGGACCAGGCTTTGGAGATATCATTCGATTCCTTTTGTTATAATTCCTTTATTCATCACAGCTTTCAATTCAAGCAAGCGTTGAACTGCTGAACTGCTATAACTTATAAGGGACAAATCACTTGAATTGATACTTGCCGAAAACAAGCACATGCGGACTTGCCCTATATATACATAGATTTGAGAAAAGACGAGTTCATTACCCGATGCAACTTCCTTTCACAGGTATACAACAAAACACAGGCAACCTTTCTGCATGGAATCTTGCTGGCATGGTTTCTCTTTCTTACTTTCACAAAGACAAGTTGGTAGATTGTGCCGACCAACCATCGTTCTGTAAAATAATGCTGGGCTTGACCATGGTCAATAGTATGGTCAATAAGTGAAAACTATGTTCATGATGTCGACTGGCTGGCCATTTGCTTGAAATCGATCTCCAACACTGAAAACGCAACAGCACACACCCATGCAATCTTCCACAGACCATTCACTGTCAGTCTTTAAAATGAGAGGACGATGATTCACCCAAACTGGCCCCAATGGTCACAGTTCTCGGGGGCCAACCCTGCTGGGGCAACGGCTTGATTCAGTTAAATGGCAGTGACCATGGGCTGCGTCGATTCCGACTGACGTTGCGTTGTGTAATTTTTGCAAGTATAAAGGATCATCTTGAGACACGCAAACAATCATGTTCAGGACTTGTGTACAAAACAGGATCCAAAGACTGGCTACCCACACAACCCTTTGACATTTGTTTTGAATGGATATTCGCAAAGGACAAACGGGCCAATTGTCTTGATTATAAATGTCACAGTGGTGTTGGAAGCAAACATGATCGACAAAGAAGCACTCCTATAAGTGTGTCTTGTTTGAACAGTATATAAGTCTGGTGTTGTTGGTCCACGTCGATGCTCTGCAAATGCTGCTGAAACTAACGCCATTTCTGTTTTATGGACCAGCAAACACTTTTTGCAAGCCTGGATGCCGCAACATCCGTCCGGGCGGAGAAACAGAGCTTCACTGATGATCACCCTTTCCAGGCGCTTGTAGAGTTGACATATTTAATGGTGCCCGCGGTATTGGGTTAGTCGCGAGTGGGTTCCTATGATTTCTATATACTTCGTAGCCTCCCCTATATTCCCACCCTTGCAGCGTAGAACCTTGGCAGAGTGTGCAACTAGTGCTGAAACCATGTGGGAAAATTTTGCTTGCCTGCTTTGGAAACTACGAGTATATATACATATGATATTGTGTGTGTGGACATTGCTTCCCTCACCTGCGGGTAACACTTGATCCATCCATCTCACTTTTCTTCCCTGCCGAGGCCACCTCATGCCGTGCAGCCATCCGGATGGCCCAGGGGGTCGTTTCAGACGTTGGTTCAGCAGCTAAAAGATCTGCAGGTATGTTGGAACTGGCAAGATGCACACTCACCAATTCAGAACGAGATTTCCAAAGAGTCGTGAGGAAGTTCCATCTAGCCCTTGAGATTCCACTGACCATCCTCCCAAAGACACCAGGAGTTATATATCCTGGCCAGATCGCTGCGTTGTCATTGAACGATTGGCTCCGTTTCTTGATAGACAAGCAGCTGTGGTGCATGCTTGTGGGATTGCACCGGTCCAACCCGGACCGGGAACGCCAAATCCTGCGGACGTTCTGGCAGAGGTTCAAACAAATTGAACCTCATCACCGAGTGTTCCAATTGGCAGAGAGCGGCGAGATCTCACTGGAGACGTGTTGCCCAGTCCTTCTACATGGCGACGAGGGTCGCGGCAGGAAGAAGTCTGGGTTTCTTGTGATCTCATACCACAGCTATATAGGCACAGGAACAGCAGAAGCCAACAAGCAACGACGCAAAAGGTATGTTCAATTTCCTCTGAACTACACCAACGACCTGTACTGCACAAGATTCCTTTCTTGCGTCCTACCACGGATGTTCAAAGATGAATGTGCATTTGAGGATTTGCTTTTGTTTGTGTCACAAGACTGTCGAAGAGTTCTTCGCGAGGGCGTGTTAGATGACAGCGGTCAAAAGTACACCATGCGCTGCCTTCACAACACAGGCGACTGGCAATGGCTACAAAAATCTGGTCACCTAAACAGATCATATCAGTGCGTTGAAAAAAGGCCGCGAGCAAGCAATGGTTCAGTTCTTCGTGGCATATGCCACCAGTGTGAGGCTGGACAGGAAGGTGTTGCGTGGGAAGGGTATGACATCCACGGCCAACCTCAGTGGAAGAGTACCTTCTTGCGGTCGAGCCCTTTCACTGGCAATCCGGCACTGAATCAGGTCTGTGGAGTTCCTGGAAAAGAGGCATTGTTCTACGCCTGGGATTTATTCCATTCCTACCATCTTGGAGTCGGCAAGAGCTGCGTTGCCACATGCCTATGTTTAGCCAGCGAATGCATGTCAGCCACTCAAGTTGATGAGCGGTTCAGTCAATTAACAGAATTGTACTTGACATACTGCACAGATCATCATCTGCCAAGCTACATCACCCAGGTGACCAAGTCCACAGTTGGCTGGCCCGACACAGGGACATACCCTAACGGGTACTGGAGCAAGGGACACGTGACGACGACGCTAGCTGGCTTCTTTGAGGACTGGGCTGGAGGCCAGCAACAGTTCCCAGCAAACCACGACCTTCTTTGCATGTGCCGCCGTACTTCGAGAGAGATTTCCAAATGTTTGCGGGCTCTTTACGCTGCTGACGTATGGCTGAGTCGATCGCAAGCTGAAACCATTGCAAAGGCTGGACTTGCCTTTCTTGCTGGGTATCAGGACCTGGCCTTCAAGGCATTTCAGGATGGCAGGGCACTATTCGCATTGATGCCCAAGGGGCACGCTATGGAGCACATATTTGTTGCCATGTTGGATCAGTTGTCCAACCCTCGATGTGACTACGTGTTGTCTCCTTTGTGCCACGCCGTTCAGATTGATGAAGGGTGGGTGGGTGTATGCTCACGCCTTGCCAGGAGAACGAGCCCATCGACAGTGATCGTAAGAGTGCTGCAGCGCACTTTGTTGGCTTGTATGAAGCATTGGAAGGATCGGGGGTACCTTCCTCACTGAAGAAAAAGAGCGTTAATGGGATGGTGGTGAGGGAGTTGGAGTTGAGATGTTCCCCTATACCCACTTGAGAGCAGGTGTTCATGAACCTCATTAGTGCCCAATATGAAAAACTCGTGTTTTTCTAGAAACATCGTGTTTTCGCGCTGGGGTCCTACGTTTTCTCAGGTTTTGGTTTCTCTAGGTATTGGATGTACCAACAGCAGCTTGTTTCAAAAGACACAGCTGGACCAGCTCGTGAAATGCAGGATGCGGGCAGGAATGGCACAGGTCATTAAATTGTGTTTGTTCAAGGATAAGGTCGTGGTGCAAAAAAACACCACAATTCGCTAGAGGTACTCGGGTTTTAACAAAGCTGGACAACATTTGCAGGTCAATCGAGAGTTCAAGAACTATGTTTCCACCTGGGATACTTGGAATTTTGTTTGGATATGGTACAGTAGGTGATGTGGAGTACCTTTTACATCCTTTTACTATCTGCTCTGATCTGATAGGATACGATATGTGTACTTGATGTACTTGTAATATGATCTCCAGGTGCTTTTGTTCCTTCGTCAGGCATGTATGTGGTGTTCAGTTTGGTGTTGACGGTTTTCCTTTGTTCAGGGAGTCTTGGGGCTCTCCCTATTTCTAACACACATACTTCTTGTACTACGCTGGACTGACCGCGCCCTCTGGAGGCCACAAAGCAAGTGCTCAGCCAACGGAACCCCTCCAACCCACCGGCAGTGGATCCCAGTGCGGGTCGGTTGGGCAGCTGTTCAGTTCACATTTGCCAGCCATCGGACACTGAAGATTTGATCGAACATGATGGAACATCGCTGTTGATTTGCACTGTCAAAACATGTACAGTATACAGACAAAAAAAAGTGCTGTTGGTTTGCGCTGTTGGTTGGTAAAGCCATTTCTGTTCCACTACTGTAATAGAAGTCCTGAGATCGGACTTCACATCTCCTCTCACCAACCAGACCCACCGGCTCGCGCCGTCGAGGAGCACAGGGCCTCATGAAAATCAAAGAATGAAAGTGAAAAGAACCAACCCAGACAGGAACAAGAAGCTACTAGTAGCTAGACCCGTCGCGACACGCGACCTGTTTGGGATGGTCTGATTGACCAATCAGTTGGGGTGGTTGACCCGATGTAGGCCATACAGGTGTAGGCCACACCCGCAGCCAATTCTTATTTTGGAGTCATAGCTTATCATGACCAGTTGCTTCAACCATCTATTTGGAATCGGGTGTGTATTTTAATAGGGAGACGCCCCCAACCATCGCCCCATATCGCCCCTGCTTGATGTTCCGAACCGAAACCAGGGAAACCCATCCGAACGCCGGGTTGTCCGGTTCGGTCTTCCGAGCTACACATGATCTGACCCTGTGACCCTAGGTGACCCTGGTGTTACTTGTGTGGATCAAATTCGGGATCCTCACCAACGGTCACCATATTTCAATACATCCAGTGCCTGCCGGTCTGAAGCGGTGACTAGCAGGTCTGAGGAGTCTGAAGTAGTGATCTTTGCTGGGACATGTGTTGCTCAGAAACCTCGTGGCGAAGCACATGTGTTGCATCCCAAAAAGGCCGTACCTTAGAAACTGTGGCTCAAATAGATAGAAGATCAACCAACCCATTGGTATTCTCGATTCAGATGTCAATTCTTGTCATTTCAGATGTACTTGCAGATGGTTTCGGCACCGCACCTGCCAACTAGACTCGACGTGGCAGCGTGGAAGACCCTCCTTCGAGCTTCCCAGGAACCCTGGCTGAATGTTCCTACACCACTAGATCCAAGGACCCACATTGGACCCAAGGATCCTGGTGTATCTTTGTTCCCAGAGATCCTTTATCCAACCGATCCCACGCTCAGGTGAAATCAACGATCCCAGTGGCGGCTGCGCCCATCATACCGGTGGCAGCACGGCAGCACTCGGATTTGGAACGGACGTGGGGGGTGTCGAGCCAGACTTGCTTTTGGGGGATTCATTGGGACTCCGGATATCCATCAATAGTGTAGCTCAAATAGGAAGACCTCCCAGGCAACGAACCCTGGTTTTGGTTCGTTAAATAGACCAGTCGAGTCTCTCGACCACTGGGCCAGGGGGTCTCGCCATGTAAATACACACCCATCTACAGCTACACCAGCTACACCTGTTAAAATTTGGTTGGAGAGTTTCTGAAGGAAGGCCCACTGACCAAGTGGAGTGTTTCTGACAAACCAGCCAGCAGGTTAGGGAATTGTTTGATGTGCAAAGGTCATGTAAATGTGGCCATAGTTGATTGGGCTTTGGCTCTACTGGATTTTTATGTAGTCCTTGGATGTCCTTGGATCAAGCAGGTGACTACGACTACTATTTACTAAGTTACTTACTACCACCACAACAACTGCGACTACCACTCAACCACTACCACTAACTGCCACTACCCAGTGGAGAACATGGCCCATTTGCCCGGCCGCCAGGCCCAACCAGTCCCGGTGCCCAGACCGTGCGTTCTTCGATCTTCGTCCGTCGAGACCTGTGTCCTTCAAAGCGCGACGGTTCGACACATGGACTCGACCGACAAGAGAAGTTGACGTTGAGAGACCTGAACTAGGACCCTGTGGTGAACTAGGACCCTTCTAGTGTTTGTAGAGGGGATGTTCAATTGCTTCCTGAGCTACAAAGCTCCGAAGATCTTGGGTTCTGACCAAAGAATGGGAAGATGGCCCCTCCCTTAAATATTTATTCCAGGGGGGCATGTCACATAGTGGAATATGTTTTGCAGATTAATTGGACCGTAGAATATTTATTTAAATAATCCTAAAGGGGGTCTCTTTATGTTGAGACTCAAATGGAATAATTTCATGTCAACTAACCCTGGAAAAATTTACATGATCGAAGCTACTATCGAAGCTTTTCGAGCCTGTCTTGGATCTGTTCCACGATTTGAGCCTAATGACAGAAAATATTCCTGCATCAGGTGCACATCCTGAATGAATAACATGTATGTATGTCCAAGGCTAGTGGAATAACTATATGCTAATTATTCCTAGGTATGTGGACGTAGGGGGGGGTCTAAGGTAGGGGTCATATGGGAAGCAGAACACCATGGCCCTCTCACATCTGCGACAGTCGATGAGCCCCGCTGCGGGGCGGGGCCTGTGGGCCAGGTGACTGAACAAATGCAGTAAGTGTGTTCTAAGGTGATTCATCAACTTTATGCTGGACATCAATCTCAAGCTCTCAGCATTCCAGGCATGGAAGACACCCAAGTTGGGTTGTCCTCATGTTGGGCCACCCCTGCGGGGCCCTGCGGGGAGCAATTTGCTGATGGATGAAGTGATGAAGTCCTTCAGAACTTCGAAGTGGTAAGAACCGCCTTAGACCTAGGAGCTAGGGGCTCCTGGCCGTACTACTAGGAACAAGGTTCGCTACGAACGGGGCTCCTGGCATCGCTACTATGACTCCTGTAGATCCCCCATCCACGTTTCCTTTTGGTCAGAATTGGTCCATGTCTCGGCAGTTCCTGTCTTCCGGTGTTGCCGGGTTTGAGCCGGTCAAGTCACTATTCCTTGCCGAAGGGTCCGCAAACGGTGATTTAAACAATGTGTGTTGCCTTTTTCCATCCATTAATGAGATGTGTTTTCCTTCCTAATCAGCATAATGGTGACTAACCAAAGACTGGAAGATCCCTGGTATTTACATGTTAAGCTATTTTCCCAAAGTGCGTTCCTTCTTGTTTTTTGGAAAGGGACCAACCAAGGACGCCCCAGAAGGCTCAGTGTGAGCGATTCGATGTTTCTTAGTAGATGGGGGTTTCCTCAAAGTGGTTAGTCGTCTCTGAACATGTTGCGAGGCGATTTGATCCGAGTCGTCGCCTCCCAAGTGACGCGAGGAACTTCCGAGTAGTTTCGGCGGAACTCCTGATTCCTGAGGATTCCGAGGTCGGCACTCATCCACAAAGTGGAGAACCCGGAAAACCCTGTGTGTGTTTGATAGATTTGTATAAGTGTTCTGATGGGAATGATTTTATAAAAGCTAGCACCATTGTTTTACGGTCAAAGCACAGGCTGTTGTTTAATGAAAATACACCATCATTGAAGACAGTCACCTGTTCATTTTGGTCCATGAAAACCGCAACTGACTTGCAAGAAGACCCACTGAAATCCGCCAGAGAGTGGACTGGTTTTCGCGCTGCATCAGGCGAGACTGACGCCATCGAGGGCTGGCCAGGAGCCTGACCAAGCGGTGGAAAGAACAAACAAGCAGGGAAGGATGTGTCCAATGGATTTTAGGACTTGCCTTCCAGAGGTCGTTGCTGTGAATTGTTCATGGTGTTCCTCTAGGGAAACAGCCCATCTTGAGGTTGCTCGCCTTCCTGAAGGGCTTCGCACAAGGCATGGAAGATGCGGAGTGCAGTCAGCCAGAGGTGCTTGTGGAGGTTTCTCATCCAACCCCTCCTTGACCTCTCGTGTGGCAAGTGTAAACTGTAGACTAGATTGCTTCTGGAGTGTAGGATGAGAAACAGAAAAGTGTATTATGGCCTCCTGTTGGGAGGTAATTATAAGATAAATTTGAAGCCTTTCCAACAATGCTGGTGGATATGTTTTGTACAATAGCCTTGGTGGGGGCCTTGCACTTGGCTTCCGACTGGCTCTCAGGCTGCCTGGGTGGCTGTGCCGTGGGCATTTGCAGTGCCTTTATTTGAGTGGCCTTTAGCTTGCCAAAAGCATGTCGAAGAAGCATCGGGCATGTTCTTCAGGGAGTCAAAAGTGAAACATGTGTACACAGAAGGCCCTACTATTAGGTTGGAGGCCATTGCTATTGGGTTGGTTTTGAGGTTTTCATGGTTTCTGTTTGAATGGTGGGGCAAGCAGCGACTCATCAACTGTACTATAAAAGTCCAGTGTCCTGAAACAAATTCTTCTGACCTACCACCTCAGGAGAGGCAGTGCTTTTGTGCTTCATTGCTGGTGCAACATGGTGCAACTGATCAATGGGAACACGCGACATCATATGACCCTGAAACTCGGAAGCATTTGTTGATAGACGATACCACCTAAGCGCCTCTTTTTTCAGTGCATGACATTTCCATGGAGTTTCCCCATAACGAAGAAAACAAACGCAGCATGGTCTCGAACAAGTGCAGCAACTTTCAAACCTTCCTTTGTTTCTTCTTTTCGGTGAACCGCCGCCTCCGCCCCTCGTCTTGCTGGAGAAAGACTAAGACCGAACGGTGTGACGCGAACACTGCGAACAAAAAATGGGGTAAAAGGAGGCACCACCGGGTGCGAAGCTTCTTCGAAAATAGGTAATCTTTTGCGTGAATCCCTGCTCCTCACAGAAGTTTGAGGGGCAAAACTCCTTCGAACTGCAGCACAGAAGGAGCTTCCAATGCTGCGTGGCATGCGTGGCAAAAAGCCGAGGGGTCCGCCAATTTCACCGGGACTTGTGCAAGCTATCGCTATCGCTTCGTGTGTTTGTTCAAAGTGTTTGGAGGATCTGAACTTCCGAAGGGACCCCATGTTGTTCCTACAAGTCGACCATGTACAATCCATCGGCTCTTCCAGTCTCGGTGTTTTGGCTCAGTTTGACAAACTGAGCACCGGAGCACTGCAGGCTCAAAGTTGGGTGTTTTGACCCTCCGAGCTGCAGAGTGGCCCCTGGGGATATATGAAGAAAGAAACAAGGCGGCCATCCTATGTCCTAGATACCGATACCATCCGATACCTTTCAAGGAAAGGCTTCTCTAGGCATGTGCCCCTGTATTTCTCCGGCTTGGTCCGGGAGTGCCGTCCGAGGTTCAAGTCACAACTCGACTTCAGGACTTCAGTTGCGTGAGAATAGAATAAACACCCACCACCTGGGTTTGGTTCACCAACCACCAGTTTGCCAACAACCCAAACCGTTTGCTCGGTGAGAACCACGGCTCGAGCCGAGGCTGCAGTCCGCTCCAAGGGCGGGAAGGGCTCTCCCAGCGCGCCAAGCGCAGAGCGCGCGCCGGAGCCTGAGAGGGAGCCCAGAAACGACCAATAGGAACCAATCCATGTCTGTTTTGAGTACAACCATGCAATGCGGCAATGCGTTTCATGTAATCAACCTAAGGATATGGTTGGGGACTCCTGGATATGTCACTGACAATTGTCCTCTATCAAATGCTGATAAATTCTCGCTTTTGGGCATTCACGACACATCAGAGAAGTTCAAAGAAATGAGAATCATATAGCTACTAGGAACAAGTGCATCGCTAGTAGTAACAAGTGCCTTACTAGTAGTAACAAGGTTCGCTACTAGGAACAAGTGTTTGGTGTTCACTTCATCATGATCGCGGCGACCTCCGACTCTGTTCACTCTGTTCACTCCGGGACCCTTCGGTTGAGCGAAACGGCCACGTCGTTGGAGGAGTAGAGCCCGGAAACCATAGACCACGCTGGACTGCCGGTCCACAGGGCTAGCAACTGTCAGTTAGTTGGTTCCTGCTCTACATGTTCCGAAGATCGCAATCTTCGCTTCAGAAGAGGAAAGCTTCTTTGAGCCAACGGGTGAAAAAATGTGAAGGGTATTGCAAGTGACAAGTGTTCAGTGCGTGGTTGTAGATGGTTGTAGGATCTCCGAATGCATGGCTTGCTCAATTTACGATAACACCCACCACCTCCTGATGAGCTTCAGCCGCAGCCGCTGTTTAAATGTTGATTGTCTCTCATTGTCCTTAGGTGGACTTCAAAACTTTGGTATTCACTACATAAATGAAAAACTAACAAGTTGTTCATGAGAAGGTTTGCTGCCTGTGAGAATCTCGTAAGGTGGTTTCAAGTCTTGTCGTTTTTTTCCCCATTGTGAACCTGCAAAACTTTGTTTGGATGTTCTGTTCTGAGATTTTCAAGGTGTAGAAATGGTAGAGTTCCAAACAGCACCTTCCCCTACGCCCAAAGAAAAGGCTCCTGCAGAGTCCACCTCGTCGCAATAGCTTTCCACTCTGCCTGGAATATCCTGGAACCACTATTTTTCAAGGACGCTCAAGGGTTTCCACAGTTCTTCTTTGCTTGAGAGAGGTGCCGTTGCCGTCCGCCCTGCCATGGCAACCACAACCGCAACCACTTTGGCCATGAGCGTCCCGGTGCAGCTGATGAGTGGCAAATCTTGTGCTGTGGAAGTGGTGCCAGGCACCACCATAAGGGAGATGAAGCAACAATTGAAGGCAGGGTGGAGCAGTTCTTTGTGTCATAGGTAGTAAACAAGCTTTTCCAACATCTTCCAACGCTCAGGATTGTGTTTTTAGCTATTAGGGTGGGCTCATCACATACATATATAGCTTACTACAAGAGGCAAAAACCCAATGAAGATCCCCGGTGTAGGCCAACAAAAACGTCACGAGGCTTTGACTCCGAGTCGTCACGAGTCGGTTCCGATGAGGAAGGATGGCACCGACTCCAGCAAAGGTAGGGAGAAGTGGTCATCTAAGTGTATAGATCTATATCTATATGATATATATATATATGTATACATATATATATATGTATGATCAGCTCTATATTCTATCTACTCTAGGAATCTGTTGATTACACTCTTTTTGCCTTGCAAGCTTTGCGATTATTTGCTTGCATCGCTGTACCGAATGGCTGTTGCATGTATTTGCACGTGAATGTTGAGCTCGGCCAAATCTAGGCATGGCATCCCTCAGACGATCCCGTCACGCGCGCACTGAGCAAAGTGCAAGTGGTCCTGAAAGGCAAGACGTTTGGATTGGCAAAAGAGGTTTCTCTTTGGTGGAAGCACTGGTTTTTGAAGAACTGTTTGTTGAAGAACTCTGTTTGCTCCAATCCCAAGACCTGTTACCAGTTGCATAAACCATCCAATGTGAGGGAGGGTTTCATGGACACACCAAGTGTTCAAGCTGATTCCAAATCTCTTGCAATCCATACCTTTTTACACCACCCTCCCCCTAACTACCCCCACCCTTTTCCATGCCCCTTTTGGGGTAGGAGTAGTTAGGGGGGGTAGTGCAAAATCCTATGATTTCAGCATGGTAAGGAAGTTGGATGATGATGATGAGACCATCCTCTCAGTTGGGATGTCTCCAACTACAGAGCTGCAGGTCGGCGATGATCGGCGATGATCGGCGAGCGAGTTCGCGAAGTCGTGGGGCTCTTCAGAAACCAAAGAAACCAAAGACCAAAGACCCAGAAACCAAAGAAATCCAGACCAAAGAAACCCGCCAATCTTCAGAAACCAAAGAAACCCAGACCTCAGATTTTAGAATGACATATATGAGTCAGAGACTATCGTCATGTAATTTTAACTGGTGAGTTTCACGCAGCTAGTGTGTTTAATGTGTATTTCCAAAGAGTCCCTAAGCCCTGTTATATAGGTATTAATACTATAATTAATCCATATATTAATCCCTATTTGGGGTGTCCTATTACCTGTAACAGTTGGTAAACAATTATCACTATTTCAGAGGAGGGCCTTTATGAACCATCAACATGCACGGTTACAGGGAATCAGATACACCCAATCCCTATTAATTGTTCCAGGAAGATTATGGTTTCGTTTGACGCTCTCTCAGGTCCTCTTCATCATGAGCCCCATGGTGGAATGCTACGACCAACGAATCTGTGGCCACGAGAATCCAGAATTGCTGGACGTGCGCATTCCCGAGAATGAAAGGAACATTCAAGAATTTGCCTTCAAAGACTGCAAGTCTTTGGTACGTGTCACTATACCTGACTCAGTGACATCGATTTGGAACGGTGCTTTTGCAGGATGCACCTCATTGATGAGTTTGACCATTCCCAACGCCTTAACTAGGATTGGAGCCGGTGCCTTCGAAGGCTGCAGCTCTTTGACAAGTCTGTCAATCCCCAGCTCTGTGACAACGATAGAAAATTTTGCATTCGAGGGCTGCTCTTCTTTGACAACCTTGACGATTCCGAACTCTGTGAATGAAATCGGCCGGGGTGCTTTCAAGCGATGCAGTTCCTTGAGAAGCTTGAGTATACCTGAATCAATGACTCAGATCGAAATAGAAGCTTTTACAGACTGCGGCTCCTTGACCAGCTTGAGGATTCCTGGGTCCGTGACCAGGATTCGAAGCTTTGCCTTTGCAGGCTGCCGCTCCTTGATGACCTTGGCCATCCCCGACTCTGTGACTCATCTTGGAAAGGGCGCCTTTGAGCGTTGCATTGCCCTAACAAGCTTGACAATTCCCTCAACGGTGATACATGTTGGAAGGGGTGCTTTCAAGCGCTGTATCTCCTTATCAAGCTTGACGATCCTCAATCTCGCGCTTGATATCGAAGACGACGCTTTCAAACACTGCACGGCGTTGGTCAGTCTGAATGTTCCTGAATTACTGAAGCCTGACGTCGACCGGCTATTTACCGGCTGCAACAGCTTGCCACGAACACCTTCAGGCTCATTGTTGGTCATTGACGATCAGAACAGAGAAGAGTGAAAACAAAAATATACAAAATCTGTGTTCAGGGGTGTGTGTCAAAAGTTAAAGTAAAGGAAATGCTTTGGTATTAATTATATATATTGTTCTTCCGCTATTTTTGACTAGGGATCGGCATTTCAACAGAGCTCCAGTCCTCCTGTTGAAAAGAATCACCATTTTGGAGACCAGGAATGGAGTGAAGACTGACAGTTGTCCTCCCGTGAGAAGCATCTCGGTTTTTGTTTCCAGCATCCTTGTATGACATGAACTGCATCGACCAACCGGTGAGGTAGAAAGATGATGAAAGATGTTGTGGTCCGCCACGTTCTTTTTGTTGGTCCATTCGCCATACGGATCAATCAGCTCATTGGCCTTGTCCTGACCGGTGCCCAGCTGATGGGGCGGATGATCCACCTTCCGCCCTCCCATGCCTTCGTCCTCAGTCCCAAGAGCCGGACGAGTCAGGCCTTCTACAGCTTCGGCGGCTTCTCCGAAATCCAGCCGATCCACCTCAGAAAACGCCAGAGGTCGTCGCAAACACCCGGAGGTCGAACCGAAACGACACGGTAGCGCTCAGTAGTGGCGTTCGGAGTCTGCTGTTTGGCAGGCCCGCGCCAGAATGGTCCAATTCCGTGGCGATAGTTACTGCTCAGGAACTGCAATTGAGAAGAAGATTCGATGGTGACACTATGATAAACGATATACAAATTTATGATGATGGTCGGACAAGCTGGCTACATGAAGTATACTAGTACCAGGGTCGCCGAGTTTTGACACTCCCAGATGACCACGACATTGACCCTCAAAGATTTTCAGGGTTCGAACAAGGAGTAATCGCTTAAAAACAAGTTTGTCCACGGCAGAACGAGAGAAAAACTAAGAAAACCAATGCAACGCACCAACAATGAATGGTTCTTTTGCTGTTTGTTGTCGGTGTTTAGATTCAGTTGTCATCTGGATGGACGTTTTAAACGTTTCATGAACGAAAAGAGGACGCACGGTTCAATCCTGAACACTTGGTGTCGATAGGTGTCGAATGCAGTGCTTTCAGGTACACGGTCGTGTTGGCTTTGACGACCTTGACGGTGCTTCCTCGACGGGGGCGTTTTTCCCTCCCTTCGCCCGTTGACGGGCGCGAAGCAACGCCCGAGGCGAATTCCTCGTCATCCTCACACCGGAGGAGTACCGGTGGTCGTTTTTGGGGAGATGAACGAGGGTGGGAGCAGCTATAGAAATGTCCTATATAGTCTATAGGCGATAGACCATTCTATAGGCATCAGATAAAAGCTTTAGTGGATGTGATTTTGGTCAATGTGTTTTCTTTGCACACCCGGACAGGGTAACTCTCCCAGCAGTGATGAAGGGTTGTGTGTTTGAGCTACAGAGAACGGTTTGTGCTGGTGGTCTCAGTGACCTTGGGTCAGAAGACAATTGGTCGACTCAATAGCCCTCAAACGCACTCTTTGTAGCTTTGTGGACAACCAGGGATTTGTTCTTGACAGCTTCATCGGGTACTTGCATAGAGCCAGGCCACCAAGAAGAATGTCAAGACCTCCCAGGGCTTCACCTGCGCACGGTTTCGGATTTTCAAGAAACTCCAAAAACAAAACGGTCTCGAACTTGAAGCTATTAGGAACAAGGGCATCGCTACTGGGAGCACGGACGCTACTAGTAGCTCCTGGCCTTACTACTCGTAAAAAGAAGCTACTAGTAGCAAAGGGCATTACTACTAGTAGCAAGTCGCCTTCTTGCTACTAGTAACAAGAAGCCAACCTGCCCCAGCTCCGGTCCACCAGCACCTCGTGAGGAGCATCAGGAATACTTGCGGCGGCGGAAAGGCGGCGTCGGAACGCGATGGTGGCCGGGGCGAAGCACCAGGGACAAACAGAGTCAGTGAGTGTTGCGACTTGGAAAAGTCATGTGAAGCCAGGAGTGTAGTAGAGGAGTGAGTGTAGAGCTGGAACATGCTGGAACTGTGAAGTGGATGATGGCATCAGACGCTTTTGATCACACCGGATTGCCAGGGGCGATCTCTGCACCCAAAGAGACTGACCTCAGAGATGATGGCTGGAGACCCTAGAGGATGATCGACCAGTGACTTCGACTTCTGAGATGTGGAGTGTTGTGCGTCCATGCCGCGATGGCTCGAGAGCCTACTCTACATATATCTTCAGATGGTACGGGTAGTTCTCCACACCGCTCCAAATAACGATATGTGACTCCCTGCCAAAGAAGATCATGTTGTTCTTGCAATCCCACATGCCCAGGTGCCGAAGCAGATGTCCGTTCTCAGGCCACACGGCGGTTTCATGGGCACTGCCGTGTCCTCTTTCAGTGTGAAGGAGTGGTGATGCCCAAGTTGAACCAGAGAAGTTTAAACTTCAAGAACAGATCCTCAATGTTGGAAGTGTTCCGGACCTCAAGTGGGCATGATGTTCATGCAGAGTTACTGTACTTCAATGTATTTGTTTTACTGCACCCAAAGCAGCAGGCTTGGGGGGAGGTGGCCCGTGTGGCCTCCGTGGCCTCTTCTTGACCAAGGGTCGAAAGGGTTCAAGCAGGACAGTTCTGACCCTTGTCCTGAGTGTCAACCAATGGGACGAGAGAAGTCAAGGGCCTGAGAGCGAATGCAAGGATGTCTTCTGACTAAGTCCATGATGACCATGTCCATGAGCTACCACTTTTTCGGATGAGTCCTGCATGCTGGATGGCATAGTCTGGATTTGTCTTTTTCCTAGATCCCATGCACACAAGAATAACAGGTTGCCAGTTCAGGTGACATATACACACTCCGACTCACTAAACAGTTAGTGTCACTAACATGGAAGTGGAAAACCCCGTGTTTGTAGGGGCAAGGAGTCACTGTAGGTCGACCAGGTAGGTCGACCGGTCGGTCCTCCGGTGACCGGTCGCCGGTCATGTCGAGCGCTTAGTAAGACTCGGTTGGTCCACTGGAAGGAGGCTCGAGCCCAACCAGAATTACGAAGTATAGTGATGTATAATGTAGACTAATACATCCTCCCCATTTGGATTAAAAAACATCTTTATACCAGGATCATCCAATGGGTGTCCAATAGACTACCCTACTTACAGGTCTCCAGATAGAGCACCCGTTGGAAGTGCTAGGTATGGGAGGTTTGTTAATCAACATGTTTCATTACCCTACCCATTAGACCGACGCAACTCCTAGGCCTCAGCACGTCCGGCCTCGATGGCGGGGCTCCTACAGCAGATGGTGCGCGGGGTCGACTGGGCCCAGCCCACGAGTGGGCTGGGCCGGGCCTGGGGGTGGTGAGGGCTGGAAATGGCTACAACATTTGGGAGAAAAGCAAGGAAGAAGCTCAAAGAGGTAATGACTTTGGGATGGGGTCCACTTTTTGGAGGGACCCAGGGGATTTTTGTGGTGCACTATATACTGTAAGTGCTTTCAAGATGTTGTATGCTTTGGGGTGAACATGGGTAAACTGGAAGGAAACTGATTAGCGAACTTGTGTTTGGCATGTTGCCCTGCAAACAGCCACCTTGAGAGGAGGAATCTAGAGCTCTTGGTCATTTCAGCCTTGCTTCGCCACATCCTGCTTGATCCAGCCCTGGACTAAATTTGAAGTCTTTTAATCAACCATTATTTGTCCAGACCTTTGGTTGATTCAGCTATGTTCAACTTTCAAGTCAAGATCTCCGCTATACTTACTGGGATGTTGATGCGAGCAGCCCCCTCCTACCCAACCCGACCCAACGCAGCACGTGATCCACCCACCAGCCAGTGTGATCCACTCCTTGATTTGGTGTCCCTACCGGCAACAGCCAGTGAGTCTTTTGGGTCTGGCACTGCTGCTCTTTGGGCCTGGCATCCCTGAGCTCCTGGTCATCCCTGGTCAGGGCAAGAAGGGCGGTTCTGGATCGCTCAAACAGCTCGAGTCTCGGTGATCGAGTCATCCCGCAGAAGCCAAGCAAGTGAAGCAGGAAAGTGGATGAATTGGTGATTTCAAGTACACAATTCCCATAGGACTAACATGGGCATGCTACGCACTTGCAAAGTTCAAGAGACCCACCTTTCCCAGCAGAGTAGAGTCCGGAAGCCGCAAGAATGACTTTGCGTGGGGAATAATGGAAAACCTCTACTGTTTGGCTGTGCTATAACTTTAGTTTGAGGGCATAGAGTCTTAGAGCTCTCCCATATCAAAAATGCTCTCTTATGGTGCTAGTTGTTTTGGGGGGTAGTCTTTTGGGTGTACAAAGAGCTTGTGGGGAGCTTGCGCAGACAAGATATTTGAGTAGACCAACGAGACGATCGCAGCTGTCTCTGGAAAGAAAGTAGCTGGGCACCAAAGGCTTTGCGCCTCATGTTTAAGCTTACTTAGTGCAGATTCATAGTTTTTGCTTCACACTAGCCGCAGGCAGTGCATTACGGTTGCGGACTGGAAACCTAGCTAGGCTAGACTTTGCCATGTTTGTGCACAGTACAGGGTCATAGAGTCATAAAGCTGCTCTTTTTCAGCCGACCGGGTCTGCAAGAGCTCCCACCATTCACGATGCTGGAAGATTCCAAGGCAGGCAAAAGCGACTGCCGCTACATCACCCACTAGCAGCACACCAACAGGTGCACTGTTTTGGTCGTTCATCCAGAGTTTCTTAACATCAAACAAGCATCCGAAAGATGCCTCAGATGCCGAGAGAAGTACCAGTCCCAAAAACATCGTAGCATCATCGTATACATCACTTGCAGATACTTGCAGTCCACGCCCCTGGCACTCCGAACCACAAAAATCTTCATTGCAACCAATGGACATTCAACCGACTTCTCAGCTGGCCACCCTATCTTAAATGTGTAAGACAGTATTTTTGTTGTTTGGCGCCTCTTCATGGTGTTTGGGGTGCAGTACGTATATACTATGTTGGGGACGCGTTTGCCTCTTTCCTCCCGTGGCACTCGTCGCAACGAGAAGATTCACGAGGCCCGCCAGGCTTCTTGAGTTTCGTGATGGTCCTGACTCCCGAGGCGGGACCGTCTCCAGAGCGAAACACGCTGCCTTTTTCCACCGTCTCCCGAGGCGTCCTCCGAAATGTGTTTTTTCTCTCCGAGCCAAGCCTCCAAACTTTGGTTCATAGTTTAAAGTTGGAGTGGTTTGGAGATGTGATTCTTTTGAGAGGAGTACATGGAGACTGGAGACTGGAGACCAACGACTGACGTAGACCCCAAAAAGACTGACTGCAAATAAACGAGGAAACTCATGGTTAAACTCAGTTGCTCGCTTAAACTCATGGTCGGAGGCAATGCAATGCAACACTTTCTTGCGCATTTGAAAGGCCACACCATTGATAGGCCGCACATGATGCAGCAACGCTTCAAGCCTGTCTAGTGAATATTGCGAATCGTCCTTCAATGCCTTTTGCCGCGTCACTGGAATCCTCCTGGGTGCCGTGTCAACACCATGCAACACCCACACCCCGAAGGCATGTTACATGGAACATCCCGGAGTGCAGGCTGCCGCGGGAAGCTTCGCAGTTCCACTGACCGAAGCCCGCACCGGACACGAACCGCACACAGAAGCGGCGCACCGGACAGGAACACAAGGAGTACCTGCGGAGAAGAAGACAGTTCAGAGGCGCCGTGTTTCAGGGATTTTCTAGTAGGTTTCCATCGCCATTAGGTTGGAGGCCATTCCTATTGGGTTGGAGCGCGGTTTGCCGCATGATGCCAGCGAATTACGCCACCGAATGAGGGAGCTACCTTCGATAGGACCACGAAGTGATCCTCAAGTTGAGAACCAGTATACCGTACCTATCATTACCTACTATAATAAAGAATGTCTAAAACAAGAATTCATGTTGG